AAGGTATCAATGTTTTCAAAGCTGAAGACAGGCAACAAATTTCGTGGAATTCTTCACGTATATAAAAAAACTGGAGTTCTAATTATATTCTTTCAACCTTTACTGAAAGAGTTTGTCTGACAATTCCTTTAGGTTGGAAATCTTTTGGGTAAACACTAATTGATATTCACTATCACTGATCCATTGCTAGACTAAATAAGATGGTGATAGAAAGCTTTTCCCTCTTTTGTTATAAAACGTTGAACATACACGAGCAAACCGTTCATATCAATCTTCTCAAAAGCTAAAGTTTTATAGAGTAAGGCCCTGTTTGTTACACCTCCTTAAGAGGGACAGGCTTAAATAACAGTCCTATGTTTCGTATGGTCAAGGACTGCAATAATGAGACTAACATGGATTAAGATAGGCTTTGCGCCTCACTAAACCCCATCATCTAATCTTGAGCCGAAGCTTGGTATTAAAAAGTACTAGCTAGAAAGGAGGCCGATGGCCTCACCCCACCACTTCCCTGCATGCATCTTGCTTTTTTCTCCCTTCATCCCTCTCTCAATCCCCGCCTTTCTCTCCCATTCTCTCTTTGAACCGACAACAAACCTCTTGGCTCCAAATCTGGGTCAACCTTGCGCAGGCCTCCAGCTGTAGACAGGTTGGACTGATTGGTGAGGAGATTTAGGTCCAGATCTGGTGGGCGATTTTAGTAGGGTGTTCCAGTAGACTCTGGTTTTGGTTGATTGAACAAAGGAAACAAGTTAAACAGAACTTGTCGCAGAGTGAGGCACTGCAACGTGCGATGGTAGTTGTTCCGGTGTATTTCTTATCTTCAGAAAGCTCTGTACTTGAACCCAAATACCGTCAAGAATTTCACCTAAGCTGAAACTCAAGAACACCCCGATCCTCTCTCTATCTCTCTCTCTCTCTCTCTCTCTCTCTCTCTCGTGGATATGGACTCCCCCATCCCAAATCAACCACCACCAACCCACCACCACAAATACCTACAGAGAACGATGGAGAAGACAAATGTAAAACCAATTACCAGATAGGTTTCCAAACTAGAATTCCTATGGATATTTTGTACCGAGTTACCAAACAGTCTCTGAAATGAAATAGAACAATTGGTTTCCAATGATCGATAGCAGCTCCACCGAATGGGACATGCAAAGGGAAAATTCTATGGGGTTTATCTACAATCCACTGTCAGACAGTGCGCATTCAATAACAATATCATGGCAGGCACATTTTCATGTTTTGTAGAAAGTTTTTCAATTGTAACAACATCCTCACTGAAAGAGAGAGCACCTATCATTTGTCAAAACAATTATTCCTTTACATGCTGGAACCTAATGATCTTCAGAGCCACATGTTATCAAGCATTTTTGAGCAATCATTCATTAACTTTCACTGCCTTATTCAAAAGTAACTGGTACCACAACCACAGGTATATCAAGAACATTTTACACAACAAAAGTCTTAAGGATTTAGTATAGAATGATATCAAACAACATACCGGTGCAGCACCCTGGTGTGTACATTTTAAGCAGGTGAGGAAGGCATTTTTTAAGGCATGACGTGGCCCAGAAACATGTACCCCATTAATGACAGCGCTTGAAGGATCAAATCCAAGTAATACAGGCAAAATGCGACCATAGAATGCAGGCCTCTTCTTTGCAATTGCTGAAAGACTGGCAAGACATGTCATATAAAATAAAAAATAAGAAACTTGCAGTAAACTGTAAGCAAGCAGACACAAATGGTTACAATTGTACCCAAAAAAAAAAAATACAAGGAAGCTCCCACCTGGGCCTCAGAATAAATACTATATTTATAATTTACTATTTTTTACAAAAGAATATTGGACATCACAATCTACTCTCCTTCCAGGATATTTTGTCCTCGAAATTTGCATAACCCTACTGGTGTCACTATTATCTTCACCCTATCTAGGATCCTAAAATACAGTCCTCTTGTACATAACAATCAACCACTTAACTCCTTTATAAGTTGACATATACCCAACATATAGGTCCTCACGCCACTCAAAGAACAATCCTTTATAAATTTAAACATCATCGCTCGGGGTAACTGTTTGATATCAGGAGACATAGTTATCACTTATCAACACCCATGACCTAGGTTCATGCATAGGGTATGTTTAAACTTTTTTGTTAACAAACCCTCATGAAAAAGGAACGGAAATGAAAAGAAAATTCCCTTACAACATGCACTTCCTCCTATTATTGAGAGGCGGTGTTTGTAAAGTGAGAACAATTTTTACACCTTTTTTCATGGACCCCACTTAGTGGGATAAGGCTTTGTTGTTGTTATTACTTTTTTCATGGAGAACACCTTCTTTTGAGCTCCAGAGATGGTTTACAATATTAAATCTTCAAAACTAGTTTTAAATTACAGAGAGTCATCTAAATCTTATCAGCATTTAAATTTAGCATACAAGGGCTCTATGGAGTAACATGTAACATCAAAATTGCTAGAAAATTGAAAATGACCTAAGAAAGCCAAGATACCTGTTAATAAGCACAACGATCACTAAGTTACCAAGCGATTTCACGGTTGGGAGCCTAAGTTGATCAAGCAATAAACCCAAACTTTTACTAGCCTCAATTGACAAATCTCCAACATTGAGCAGAGGATGACCACCACGAAGCCAAGATACGTTAAATTCCACTAAGTCCCCTACAAAGCGGACAAGCATTCTTCATCAGAAAAAAACAAACCAATTCAGCTCTGAACCTCAAGAATGGAGTCAAATTTTATTACCTTCACGAGCAGGGGGGCCCGGGGAGCCATTAGGATCAGGAGTATAAAGAAGAATGACTGACTCAACAAATTTCAGTGCTCGCAACCTTACTCCCCCACTTCCCGGCTGGTAAGCATGATACAGTGAATTAGACATCAATTAAATTCTGATCACATGTTATTGTTAAAAGAATCATTTCTTACCCCAAAAGCTATAGAATATATTTCATCCTTCAGCTTTAACACACATGCCCAAGCTGACTCAAGCGAACTGTCCAATTCACTAGCATGTAGACCCTGAAAGGTTAACCAGTAATAAGGGTGTCGATTACTACAAACTCAACTTGGATTTACATAGTCAATACTTAACCATAAAATGTAACATGAATTCCCACAGTAGCATCAAAAAAACCATTGGTAAGCATTACACAACGTTCAAGTTCTACCAATAGAATTACCTGAATCGAAACCTTTTCGAGAACGCAACGAAATAAATTACTCCCGCAAGTGATCGCCTGTCGAGCTACTGCCGGTGTTTCATCACTCAAAACATCAATTAACGAGGGTACAATGTCTGGCAACAATTCTACGTGCATAAATCCAATTTCGCCAAGCATTCTACATTTCGAAAACAAAAGGGAAATTTCTCAATTAATTACGCTACAATAAACACAAACAGAATAAAAATTAAACTAGGACAAACTAGGGTTTGACAAAAACGCACTCGGTGGCAAATTTGCGGACCGGGCTGAACCGGTCGGACAGAAGCTCGAAAAAGCGAGGGAGGAGTTCGGAAAGCAAATCAGGGTCCTGTTGCCGGACCAAATCCTGCTTCGATTGGCGCAAGCGGTCGAGCTTCGACGGAATATCGGCGGCGAAGATGGCGGAGTCCATGAGACCCGCGAGCCTTTCGTGGGAATTGGGGGTCATCATCATCCCCACCATTGCAGAAACGAAAACCCTAATTATATTTTTTCTCACAGTCGAGACGGTGAGATGGTGGGATTAATATCTGGTCCGCGCATAGAGAGAGGAAAAAGGGTGGGAATTGTGAAGCGGAGAGTACAAATTCGCGGCTCGTGACCGCGGACGGGCAAAGGAGTATGTCGAGTTTCTCTTTTAAAATATTTGAAAGAAACTAATCAAAAAATTGGAAAACTTTGAATTTTAATGATAAGAATAAAATAAAAAGTAAAGTAAATAATATCATGATTGACTTTTTAGTATAAAAATGTGGTTTTTCGTTAAAGTAAACAGTACCATGGGTTTTTCGTTAAATCTTCCTTAATTTAACTCCTTCAAACTTCACATATATCTCACTCTGTTTTTTACCATCAAAGTTCATTAAAAAAATCCCATTTAAAACTTGTTTCGTGGTATAAATAAAACATATATGTTTGAGACATGTTAATAGATTTATACGGATTTTGAATGGCTTTGTACGCATTTTGATTGCAGTGATGCAAGTTGAGTTAAAAAAAAAAGTTGAATTTCAAGAATTAAGCGAGACTCGAGTTGACTTTCAAGAAGTTAAAAGGTAATTAAGTCAATAGGAAAATAAAGCTAAAAACTAACGTATTTTTTTGTTAAGGTCAAGCATTGTATGTAATGTCTATACTTGCAAATGTGAATTAGGTTAGGTTATGTGTTGCATTTTGTATCTAAGTTAGAATTCTCCTTTTCGCAACTTATGTTCTTTAGGGTATGTCTTTTTTATATGTACCACTTACATGCCTTGCACAACAATCTTCCATACTTTCATCCATATTTCCTTTTACGGGCACTGGCGGAGCCAGGTTAAGGCTTGTCCTGGGCTGTAGCCCAGGTAGCTTCCGGTGAAAAATAAAATTTTACATGTAATTTTGATTGATTTTCGAATGTAACCCATCATATATTTAGTCATTAATCCAAATTCTTTAGATTTAACCATATAAAATTATATAATACAGTTTACATGTCATATCTTTTTCTTACATCCTTTTTTTCATCGCTTATTGTACATGTACAAGTTTGGATTTGTTTGAATTTTAACACATATTTATTTAATTACAAATTTTTTTGGCTCACCTTGTGAATTTTTTAAGCTAACTGATACAAAGAAAAGTACGGTATCAAGTTTCTTTATTTATAAAAATTAAAATTTTTAAGTTAGGCCACCTAATAAAAAATTCCTAGCTCTGCCATTGTTTACGGAAGGAAAATAATTTCTCTTTATCTTCTGTAACTTGTTCTATAACATAAAATTATAATAAGAAAAACATTTCAAACGCAATATTTTATAAATTACTTATTACTTTGCATTCGTTTGTCTTTTCCCCTTCTCCAATTGAATTCTTGAAGTCCAAAACCAACTAGTGAAGAATTCTCGTAACTAAAATTCTGATTTTCGAGACTAAATTTTTGAGGAATTTTTTAATGTGACAGTCAAACCAACACATGAAATTATCCATCTAATTAGTAACACCACGGGCCACGGCTGTTAAAACTTCTCAGAACTCGAACTTGAAATTTCCATCTATTTGGTAACACCACGGCTATTGAAACTTCTCAGGACTCGAACTTCAAATTATCCATCTAATTAGTAACACCACGGCTGTTGAAACTTCTCAGAACTCGAACTGGGCCGTTGACCCAAACTCAAAACTCAAACTGGGGCCGATGATCCAAACTCAAACCCGAACCTTATCCTGCATATAGAATTGGGAGTCAAACACTCCAGCCCAATTCACCACTTGGGGAAGAAAATCACAGCTAATAACGGTTTGATTAAAAGTGCTTTTAAAATGTTTTTAGTAAAAATATTTTTAAAATTAATCCTTATTAAAATTTCATCCAAATGAATTCTTAAAAAAAAAACACTTAAAATACTTTCTGCCAGAACCACATATCTAATGCATCATCCAAAAATCACAAATGCTTTTGAAACACAATAGCAAATGATTTTTTTAGTCATTTTAAAAGTACTCCCGTACAATTCCTAAATAAAAAATGCATGCAGTGCTGCAGGAAAAAGAAAAAATAAATCAGCCAAAAGCAGAAAACATAATTTAATCCATTATTAAGCAAACAAAATCAATGCTACATCCAACAACAAAAAAAACAAACCCAACCCAACCCACCACATAATCTTAAAGTTTTTATATGTAGAAAACCCACTAAAACCATCCAAACAGTCCCTTAACTCCATTCACTCAGACCGATTCGCAAACCTCTCCACCTTCGCATCCTTCAAGTTCAACCCCACCATCGCCTCCCCCAACCCACAGCTCACCTCCGCCAACACATCGGGGTCCCGGTAGTGCGTCACCGCCTGCACAATCGCTCTCGCCCGCTTCGCCGGGTCACCGCTCTTGAACACGCCCGATCCGACGAACACCCCGTCGCACCCCAGCTGCATCATCAGCGCCGCGTCAGCCGGCGTCGCCACTCCTCCCGCGGCGAAGTGCACCACCGGAAGCCTCCCAAGCTGCTTCGTCTGCATCACCAGATCGTACGGCGCCGCGATCTTTTTTGCGAAGGTGAACACCTCGTCATCGTCCATGTTCCGCAAAACCCTAATGTCCCCCATCACGGACCGCACGTGCCGCACCGCCTCGATGATGTTTCCCGTGCCGGCCTCGCCTTTCGTCCGGATCATCGCCGCGCCCTCCCGACACGGCGGAGGGCCTCGCCGAGGTTCCGGCAGCCGCAGACGAAGGGCACCCGGAAATTGTGCTTGTTGATGTGGTGCTCCTCGTCGGCGAGGGTCAGAACCTCGCTCTCGTCGACGTAATCGACGCCGATGGCTTCGAGGATTTGAGCCTCGACGAAGTGCCCGATTCGGGCCTTAGCCATGACGGGGATTGTCACGGCCTGCTTGATTTCTTTGATGAGTTGCGGGTCGGACATCCGGGCGACGCCGCCTTGGGCGCGGATGTCGGCGGGAACACGCTCCAGGGCCATGACGGCGCATGCGCCGGCCTCCTCCGCGACCCGGGCCTGCTCGGCGTTGACGACGTCCATAATCACACCGCCGCGGAGCATTTGGGCGAGACCCACTTTGACGGAGAAAGGCGACTGCTTACTCTCGGCGATAGCGCCGTTTCCGTACACCGCCACCACTCCTGAACCCGCCATATCTAGAGAGAGAAAAATGAAGGTTCTAGAGAGAGAGGGAGCGAGGAAATGGGGTGGCGACTGGCGAGGGTTTTGGGAGGGGAAAGGATTGGGGGTGTTTATATAGGGTGGCGTTTGGATGGTTCTGAGAAAAAGGAGGTGGGTACCACGCGAGGTGGAATCACGTGGGTTGATACAGTGGGGTTGGGGAGTGTGAATAATGATGACCGTTGGATTTCATTTTTGTTTCGGATTCCTATGCTGATGGTGCGAAGTATGTTGATCGGACGGTTGACAGGGTAGGAAGGGAGACTGGGTCGCGTGGAGAAGCCCACTTGGGAGTTTGTTAGTGTGTTGGCCACGTAATTTAATGTGCCGAATCGATTTGCCACGTGGGAAGTAGGATTCCAGTCATTGGTGATAAAAATGTAAAGACCGACCGCGCAGCCTCAAATCTTAGGATTTGTTTATTTTTCGATTAATAGTTATATTTCCTATAGAATTTTGTATACACGTACATTTTATTATTAAAAGGAAATCAGTTATTAATTTTGCCACAGTAATCCATTTTTCCAAGATAGGAAAAACTCATAAAATTATGATTCTTGATTTTTCTTGCTTAAACTAACACATTCAGAATCAAAAAGATACGTAGTTGTTGACCCTAAAAACTATCAAGTTTACGTGATGCGCATACTGAGCAATTAATAAGCTAATTACGTCCTTTGGTTATGTGCAGGGCGTGCCAAGCTCGGCCGGGGAGTAAACTATGTTGATGTGGCATTGGGCGCGCTACTGACTTCTTGATCGTGTGACTGCGGTCGAGGAAGGAACATATCTTGGCCTTCAGGTTCTAGAGCCTAAAGACAAGGCTGCTAGTTCTGCGAAGTTCAATATCAAATTCGTCTTTTAATGTGCCGAATGTAGTCACATGATAACACCTCACTTCGTCGAGAAGGCTGATGAGATGATCTCTACCAACAAAGACTCGAAAATCTTTGTTGACCGAGACTTGGATAGGTAACCAGTCGGCCTCAAAGCAGTGCTGTTTATCCAAACTGAATGTGTTCCTTAGTCGGCTGATTCTATAATTCTAGTGTTGTTTATTCAAACTGAAGATGTCGCTGGTTGGCTTCACATTGCTGTTTATCAAAACTGAAGATGTGTTGGCGGAAAAAGAAAATAAAAATCTCAAGGTTGTTGAGAGGTTTTACGTAGAGCGAGGGTTTGCGCAAGGCAGTTTATGTGTTGAATTGGAAGGGGCCTCTCTCGTTGCCACTACCTCTGTATTTATAAGGATGTGCTGACTTAATCCTTGAGTATTGCGTTTGATGTTTGGCGTGGATCAGACTCAACTAAATGCATGGAGTTATCATGCAATTATCCAACCAATTTAAAATCTCCATCATTATCTCCTTATTTCGTGCAAAGCAATCCTAATCCAAGTATTTGATGACCTCTTGTGTTGGAACCAAGGCATGCAAACAATTAGCAAGCAAGTTTATCTCCCAGCCATGCATTTCAACCGAGGCATCACGTCAATCAACTCTTAATCTTTCCACCAAGTCTGTCCAATGTGCAATCATGCATTACCAAAAATTCAACTTGATCACATCTCCCACCCTCCATGTGTATGCATGTGCCGACTAGAGAATTGCAATTCTTTTTTTGACCATTGGTTATTATATAACCATTCTTCTTCAATATTATCCCATGCAGAGAAACCCATTTCCAAACAAATTGATCATATTCAGTCTAGATAAATTGATATATTATTAAAAGATAAATCATGATTAAAACCATAATATATCCTTCGATAATAATTTTCTTAACTATTTTGTCATCCAACGGTTGAGAGCTATGTTCATCAACGATCTTGATTGCATGAGCCGATAGTATAAAATCAGGTCAAACAGTAGCTCTCACTTATAATTTCAAGACCTAAAAATCAACGCTTTAGATCGATTGGGGAGGTGATTTCATTTCTACTCATTATCTCTCTTATTACTACTTCTCTTATTTATAACTTCTTTCGTTTCAAGTAAGTACACGTGATGTAAGAATTCAAAATAGAAAGAACAAAAATTGCAATTTTCTGTCTCAACCTCATTCTACCATACATGATACAACCCCACTTGTCTTAAACAAGTCCAAAAAGATGATGAAAATGGCACTAGTACAATGCGATTGATCATTTCTTTTGACCACTTCTTTTCACCACATTTTCTACCCTCACACACACACTAAATGTTTAAGTAGGGAAAAGAAGAAAGGCGTCTTCAACTTGGCCTCCTAAACTCGTATAAAATGTTATCTTTTTCTGTTGGGAATTTTTTTTTTTTTTTTTTTGAAAGCAAGCTTTTTATTAAACACCAAAAAGCAACACAAACAAGGAACAACCCACAGACCCAAAACTAACTTGTAAACAAGCAAAAGGGCCAAACACAAATAGAAAAACAAAAGGGCCAAACAAACAAAGCCACGCCAAAAAGTCAAAACACAACAGACAACAACTAGAAAGATCCATTGCTTCCGCCACCGCAGAGAATTCCGACCTGCTCCAATCCTCACCCATAACCAAGCAACACCTCATCAAATGCACCATCCAATTCCGATCTACTCCGCAAGCACAACCATAGAGTAAAGATAGCCAGCAACAAAGACAAAGAAGCCAACTGTCAAGAGGAAGTCCGTGAAGACCCACAAACAAAACTGCCGAAAAAGGCAAATAGCAACGAGAAAGTGGTGGTGTTGGAAATACTCGAGCCACCAGAGCTCTACACACAATCTCAACAGGAAACATGGCTGAAAATCGAACCAAGGACGAACACAAATGAGGCATACCAGCGGGGTAAGAGACAGAAAACAAATTGAGAAACAAAACAGGAGGAGGAAGTAGTAGAAGAAAAGAAAAGAGAAGAGAAGTGAAGAAAAGAAAAGAGAAGAGAAGAGAAGAACACAACAAAGAAGGGGAGAAGAGAAGAACACAGCAGAGAAGGGGAGAAGAGAAGAAAACAGAAGAAGCAAAGGAAAAGAGGCAACCAACTCCAGCTGAAGCCGGAGTCGGCGCCTAAGAAAGTAGGAAAGATGAAGACCCTCACCTAAGGGGGAAAGAAAACTCTCACAGAGGAGAGAAGGTCTCTCATAGAAGGAGAGTTTTTTCTGTTGGGATTTTTGGGAGGGGCATTTTTGGAGGACTACGTTTATTGGACCGTCTCATTCACCAGGACAGAGAGACAAAGACGAGCAAATCTTTGTCCCACTTTAAGCCGCTTTGCTTGCACGATTTCATCACTGCAAAGTGTCTTAAACCTATTCCATTATTTTATCTTGGATACTTCTAACTGGTTTACCAAATTTGACAATCTAGTGTTTGGTAGACTTGGAGGATTACCTTTCCTCCCAATCCACGAGAGATTTTTTAGTGTGCTGGAACACAGTTAGGTATATCAAGTCTCATAATACAATTGATTGGAACTTAAAAAAAAAAAAAAAAATCAACCAAACGAAGTATGACACTTGATTTACCGAGCCCTATTCGCGGAACATTAAAAAATTTCTCACAATCAACCCTAGGGCACATATAATGAGAAGGAAAGTAAGATGCTCATGTTGCTTGTGGTTTTGTTTAAGAAGACTGCTCTAGTTCTAATTTATGAGAGAGGATCAAGGTTGGATCATACAAAACGCGAGCACATTAATCTAATCAACTGTCCAAGCCCTATATATACAATGGGAGATCAAACTCAGGTACAAAGAGACACGCAACATTGTTCGGATCAACTGGGCTGACTGACCCTACGTTGTCCACATTCTCCATTGCTTTGACTACTAGCTAGGAAGGAGCAATATTGGTGAGATTCATTAATTACCAACCAAAAAAAACCGAAGAAAATATTGGTAAGATTCATGAAATCGGTTTTACAACCAGTTCTCTTTCTTCAATTAACAAGTCCTCGTAATTGAGCTCAATCACACAAATATGATGCAGTGAATTTGCAAAGCATTCTGAAAAGGGAGTTGAACAAACAATATGCATCACCAACATTAATATCATTGAAGATTGCAACAGAAAATCGAGTAACTTAACCCAACCTACAACGTGGGGAAAGAAAAGAATCGAGACCTTTGAATTCTTTATCCTATTTAGGTGTATTGAGGCTTTCTATACCCGGAAACAATAATACATAAGGGAAAGCCGTTGTAAAGCGACAAGGCACGGCCAATCCACACTTAGAAACTACCTAGGTAACCAGCTGAGCTCTGATCAGTTATATTGACAGGTAGTAAAGAATAGCGCATACCAGTGTTACAAGGAGATTTGTATTACTAAACTGTAAAGATCTTCCTCACCTTCTTTATGTTCCTCCGACAAATTGGACAAGTAGCAGCTGCCTCTGCTATCCTGTGAAAATTTGAAAAATGTAATCAATCATTAAATTGGATCTGGAACAGATAAACAGGACAAATATGATGCATGGAACACAGTTTACTAGTATTCTAGAAGCTCATTGGATGAGCCCTGAAGAAATCAGAACTTTTGATGGCCTAATAGGCAACTGGCCTTGTCAACTGTCATAACTAGTTTGTGGACTTGTTGCAGGGTACAGCGCAGAGGAACTTTGCAGTTAGATACGACTATAGAAAGTCAGAAACGGTAGAGAAAAATACCTTGTTGCACACTCAAAACAAGCCACACAATGCCCGCAGGGAAGGAAAAAGCAGTCCCTAGGAGCATCAAAGCAGATTGCACAAAGACGACGAGTATTATTACTTTCACCATCTCTTGACGACTTCCCTTCTCCTGCCAGAAAGTCTTCAAGATCCCCCTCATCATTTGAGGCAGAATCATAAGATGAGCCCCAACTTGATTGATCATCATCTTTGTAGGAAAGCAATGGGGCTCTCTCAGATCTGAACTCATCATGTCGTACTCTTATTCCATCTTCATTGGTACCTTGGCACTTGTTTAAGAAGTTGAAGGCCAAGAACATGAGCACAGTCATCCCACCTACACAGGCTAAAAAAATTAAATACGGTAGAGATTGACAGACAAAGGTTCCATTATGCGAAGAAAAAAGAGAATGAGCCTACCTATACCAACAATATATGTGACCCATCTTGGTCCATATGATAGTTTGACATACTGGTTTGCAGAAGGTGTATCCTGAGGAAACCAAAAAAATGTAAGACGAAAGAGTAACAAGCTACTGAATTCAAGTTTCCGGGGTAACATTTATTTGACAATCCACTAGATTAGTCTTACCTGCTCTGGACCAGGAGTGGTCAACACAGCTGCATTTCCCTCCGGAAACAAAATTTTCAAAGTACAGGATTCATCCGTGAAAGTACATTTGTAATAAGCCGAATTTGTATTGTACAATAAAGCATTCACTGTGATGTTTAATTGTACCTGTTCAATGTAAAGATGAACCCAAGTGAATAGTGTAATGAGTAAAAATTAACGACAGAACAGCAACAATATTCCTTTTTTTTTTTTTTAGCCGATGCATGAGATATCCCACATTCTGTGAGGTAGGACTAATCGCCAGTGGGGCACAGAAAGGCTAAAGGCATTTTGGCCCACCCCTAGCCATAGTCAAATGGCACACGTCCTCCCAAAAAATTTCAACCAGGGAATCATCCATGTTTTTGCCAGCTTCGTGCCTCGAACCCAAAACCAGGGAGCAAACCTGACTTGGAATTCTACTGCATTTCCACTGGAACACTTGCCGTGGTTCAACAACAATATTCTTTAATGTAAGATATAAAAGCATTAGGTAAAGGGGAAAATAGAGACCCTTAAGGGGGCACTCTCAACGCCAACACATCAGGATGTTTGTCTAGCACAAAAAAAGGTTTTGCATTCTTACTCTCACTCAACCTGATGCTTACTTTAGAAGTATGCTACAGTTAATGTCAATAATCGCTGCAACAGCCCATGATTGCAGTAACAAAGATTGTATTAATTATTTGATTCTGAATAACAGTTAATCTCATAAGTACCATGCCCCAATATATCTTTTTAATCGGAAGAGTACAGACCAGAATACAATAAAAGAAAAAGTGCACAAGATATTTAAATGCCAAGGTTATAGTTTATTCTACATGTTCCACAATTACCTCCACATCCTCTGCGTTCAAGTTACCCACAGAAACATAGTAGGCAGAAGACTTTGATAGGTCCTGCTCGATCATACCACTTCCTGTGAGGAAGTAATTACTGACATTAGTATAGTAGTAATAGTACTTGTGTTGAGAAGACAATAAGATCATATTCCACACTTCGTCTCACCATGAATGAGGTTCCATGATAAAGAAGTATTAGGATATGTTGGTTCTTCGAGCCACTGAGCAAGGCCTTCTTTACCTGCAATGCGCTAGCTTCAGAATGCTATGGAGGTCGAATAAACTTTGCCATTAGTTAAAAAAAAATGCATGAGCAACTGCAGATGATTTTTAATTTTATAAATAATGCAAAGACACCAGATCACAGAAAAAGAAATCGGAGAAATGTAGCAAGAAGACTTGCTCTGGTAAGTGACCAATTAAGACTTCAATTAACAAGTTGCTCTGCACTCTTGGCTCACTTATGTGGCTTGCTCTCTATATAACAGTGATTCTAGGTGTATATACTATGAATTTGAGTGGAGGGTCAATGACTGCAATTGCAGCAATCAGCAAATTAAACAACTGGTAATCCAATTTCCTCAGCAGCCCGTTACACTAATCTTATCAAAACATACTCACGCTTACTCACAAAACATGAAGAAAGATATTAAACTTTCATTGCTGTAAAAGTATTTATAAATGGTGGCTACTAACTACTAACTAGCATGGATATTTCTTAAAATGAAGAGAATTTTGAGTAGGAAAGAAAAGGAAATGTAGGTTATATACCTTGAGCAATAATAAGAAAAATAGAGAAGCTCGGAGAGTTCACGCTGTATGAAATACTCATTTGAGATCCCGCATTTAGGTAATATATCCATTCCTGAAGGAGAAGCACAACGAATTATCATCCTCATCAACAACTACCACAGCTTCAAAAAATTCAGAAATTTCTGGCAATAAAACAAAAAACAACATTCAACAGAATGCAAACTTGCCGTATGAGAATCAGCTGGAACCGAGACAGTATGTGTTTCGGACCAAGTGGTAGCAGTATCAAGAGGTGGAGTACTGTAGAAACCATATAGTACAGGCCCAGAACTTGATACGTTCAGCTCTTCTACCTAACAAAGACCAAACAAAAAACCAACCCAGATTACTAAACAGCACAAGAAAGCAGGCATATCAGTAAAAAAATGGAAAATGGTAAAATTAGAGCAAAAACCTACCTTTATAGACTGCACAAAAAATGGGTTCGGTTGCAGAAGAATTGAGCTATTAGGGCCAAGCTCTAAACTCGAAGACCCGTAAACTCCCAAAATCAAAGTCATCGACACTGAAACATCCAATTACAATCAAATTATGGATAATCAAATAATTAATTACCATAAAAATTTCAAAATATAATCTGAAAATTGGATACAAACCGAAGAACCAGAAGTGAGGAGGACGACAATGCAGGACCACGATTCATCCGTAATCAGCGTCGACACCTCATCGAACGCCGGCACATTTCCGCCGTAAGAAGTGCCGATTTCGTGGTTTTGCTCCAGCTCTGGATGCCGGAAATGCGTGTGTTGCTGGTACTGATTGTCATCGTCCTCCTCCTCCCGCACCTGCGAAGCGCTCGAAGACGAAGTCGTAGCGGCAGCAGCAGTACCGCCCGAAGTGTCCCTACTGGTCGAAGCAGCAGCACCGCCAGAAGTGTCCCTACTGGTCGAAGCGGCAGCAGAAGAAGAAGAAGATGAGGAGGAGGAGGAGGAAGACGATGGATGTTCTTCCATTGCAAAAAGAGGAGATATTTGGGGGAAATTAATTTCAGAAACCCTAACCCTAATTTAGGGGGAAGGGTAACGCACCTGTAGATGTCTGAGGAAGAAGGTCCACGGAGGGGAGGATGGTCGGGTGAGTAACCGATCCGCTCACCAAGCAGTCGCTTTCTTCTCCGTTGGACTGGTAGCTGAGGAGAGTGACGGTTATTTTTCTGGCGCTTCCTGCTAGCCAATCAGCTGGCGCCAAATGGACCAATGGTACTTTACTTGCTAACTTGGTCTCGAAGAAATTTTTCATTGTGACGGGAACACGAGTGGTACACCATTTGTTTTATGTAAGTGATGAGAAATTTTATCTTTTAAGTTATTAACTTTTTAACACACAAATTTCACCATTTGTATAGTAACACGTGGTGTACTACCTCGTATACCGGTCACACTGAAAAATCTCTTCTTGGTCTAGTCTCGTCAATAGAGAAATTTTTTTTTTAGTGTACCGATATTTTTACACTAAAGGGAAGGGGGAGTTCAGCTAAGCCACACAATGAGCAACTTAATTTGGTATTGAATTTGCCATTCATGAGATTCTAATCTAAAACTTCTCACTTCTAAATGAAGATGAATACTACCAGACTGTAATACTGAGTGACAGGAGTAGAGAATTGAAGTAGAGCGTTTTCATTATTTTGCTTAGGCTACGAGTAAAATTCAGGAAAATGAAAAAAATTTGTGGATAATAATTGAATTGTTACATTGTGCACCATTAAAAGTTTAGGGGGGATTGGTTTCTCTCACCACCAGTTTCAGGGCATGCCCACAACTTTAAGCTAGAAAAACTGACGTGTGACATTTAACTGCCAGCTGCCATCGTTATATAGTCACGTAGGAATTTACAGATGAGAATTGCTGGTAACAGGGATCGAACTTGGATTGGTGTCTAACCACAAGCACGCCCTTACCAAGGGAACTAACCCTCATTGGTAATTGTTGCAATTAATTGTGTGAATATTAGGAGATTATGTTTATGAATTTTATGAGATTTTCTAGATTTTTTTTACTGGATTTTTTTTTTTTTTTTTTTTTTTTTGTAAATTGGAAATATCATTCCAGGGCAAAAACCAACAAAATACAAAGAGCAAGTATACATGATCTTTTTTACTGGACTAGGTATTAATATGGAAAAGGATCCTCGCCGGATCCTTTTCCTAAGGATCTTGTGATCGTGATCGTTCATCGTATATTGTGCAGTCAGAAATTATTTCAAAATTTAAATTTTAAAATTAAATATAAATAATACCTAATGAAAATTAACCGCACGATGTATGATAAACGATTACAATCATGGGATCCCTAGGATCCTCAGGAAAAAGGATCCGGTGAGGATCCTTTTCCTATTAGTATTGCATGTAGAAAATTGGAGAGTAAATATGTTAAGGATGAACTTTTTTGGTAAGTAGAAGAGTGAGCATTTTACCGTCGAAGCTAACTCGTTAAGTAGTTTTATGAATCTTCATTGGGATGGTTAGACGCATATGGAAATCACAATCCAGAAACACGGTAAAATAGTTTGCCAAAAAAGGGGTATTTCTATTAGTGGTTCAAAAAAAGTCTCACCAGACATAGTTAAAAATAAGAGCCTCCATTCTCCAAGCCGCCTAACCAAACAACTAAATTTATTCGTGGTGATTGTGACATTTACAAGTTTAATTAAAAATAGTCATAGGGCAAGGAAAATTCTACCATACACGTATTAGCCATCGGCGAATTAATGCGAAATCAAAACTAAGAGAGCAATGAGATTTTCCATTTAAGTTGATTTGATTTGAAACTTGCAATTTTGTGTATGGGAGAGCGACGTAACAAATGAGGGAAAGGAGTCGACACCTTCGGTCCTTCTTTGAGCAACAAGGATGGAAGGTCGTCGGCGTTTGGAAAAGAGGGTGGTATAGAATCCGAACCAACCTCAAGATATAGCTCGGAGGACAAGAAACCGAATTCATGGATGCCGTGTCCTTTGTAATTGGCTCATTTCATAACAACTTATACTTTTAAGACGCAGTAATTTGTGTAACATGATATTAGAGTCTTAGTTTGTAGCAGGTCCTAGGGTTGAAAACCTCCCATCGTTTCATTGTTCAATATCCCTTGTTAATTTGATGAGGTGCGTTTCAATTTATGGCTCTTGAATGATACAATTTCTTAGCAAGCATTTGTTGTTCTACTGAGAATATGTACCATTCGTAGCATGCATATAAGGAGAAGGAATTAGATGAACCCGATATTTAATTACAGTGGCATATTGGTTTAGTAACACAATATCATTTCACAGATAATACATATATCGTTGTGTTATTGAATTGAGCCATACGTAAAAGTATACCCGATCCATCTTAATTGCTCTCGCATATGAAAATTTATCATTTAATGGGTTTTAAAACGCCAACGTTGGAAGAGCAATAACGCTGCAGACAATCCTTGCCAAAATGTTTTGTGTTGTACATGGAAATCTTGTACGTTTGCATTATTGAATCATACCAAAGCCTAGAGTTCAATCGATTCTCGTACTATTGTTTGCCAGGAGGAGCCATCCTCTTTACGAGAATATGGGGATCTTCCAATCACATCTATTCATCGTATATAAAGCAATTAGTTTTTGTCAGATATTATTTATATTCAATTTAAAATAATTTTTGACCGCATAATATACGATGAACGGATGTTATTGGAAGATCTTTTAGATTCTCATAAAAAGAATTCAACGAGAATCCTCACTCTATTGTTTGTACCCAATATTACATATATGTTTGTACAATCGAGGCCGTTAAATAAAAGGATATAGATCGTGGATTGATGAGATTTTGTAGGTAACTGGCACTGGTCCAATGAAAGAGGCTGACTAAATGAGTTGATGATGAGGAATTCTTATTGGCCACGTGCTGCAAAGGTGATCAAGAGAGAGTTTTTGTTTTGACCATTGGGAGGGTAAAGATGGTTGTTGTGATACGATTTGGCGACCATTATCATTTGGCCACACAACATCAACCATTTGGTTTATCATTATCCAATTTGGAATATTTTGGTATTATCGCCTGATGGCTGATGGTTTTGGCCTACCATCAAAAGACGGTTACGTGTCTAAGGCTTGGATTCTATAATATCGTTTCATTGCTAGCCTCTTAAGAATTTATGCTTACATTTCTTTAACATAGATAATATTATTTGTTCAGAAAAAATTTAAAAAATAAATAAATATAAGAGGATTTGCAACGGAGGAAGGCACATTCAACTCAACAAACAACTTAAAGCGCTATACGTGAAAATCCTCATTTTACGTGAAACCCTTCTCACATTTTTTGAAAAAAATATTAACTATCCTAACTCTCCCGTCAACACATCTTTAGTGACAACAAGTGAATAACACCATGTTGACAACCGGCGACACCTTTAGTTCAGATAAGTGAAAAGCACTGCAACTGATTGGTTGGTTATCTATTCAAGTGTCGACAAACAAAGAATTCTCTCTTCTTGCATTTCAGACTCTCAATAGGTTATCTCATCAGCTTCAGTAAAGTGAAGTGAGATGGTCCCCAATTACTCCTCGTTTGGCACAATGAAAACCACACCAATTATTAAACTTTGCAGTGATTAATGGATCTTGAAGTACAATTTCCACATCTCACTAACCAAATCCACACACATTAGGATTGCTCCTTAATGGTTGATTAAGTTTGATGGATTTACCCTTTGAACAAGAAGTTTCGGTCCTGGAGGGGAATTTATCTACAAACTCTTTGATTCCAGTTAGTAAGAGGGATCTTAAACTAAGAAATAGATTCCAGAAGCTAAAAAAGGGTATCTTGAGCAATTTCAATAATCTAGTTCATTGATATTCCTGGTATAGTAAGACATCCAATATCATACTCAATTTGATGAAATTGTTTGATCTTAAAGGGGATCTTCTAATGCTTGTTGGGTATTTTGGTTTGACACTATTTCACACCCAAAAACAAGTGAGCTACGTCTGAGTTAAACTTGGAGATGAAAGTCTTTCTTTTGTTTCTTGACAGTAAAGTAAGACTAAGCTCATGAGCTTATTATCCTAGGTCGGAACAAGTTGATAGGATCCCCTTTTTTTTACAGCTCAAGTATCATATACACTCCAAAATAAAGAGCCTTGAATACTAGAAAAAAAGGACCTATACCTAACAAGATTAAGTGAATACCCAACTCTTGTGTTCAGGTTCTAGAACCCAAGGTCGAGACATGTTCTTTCCTTCGTAGTGATTGCTTCAGTGCAGAAGTCAACACCGCATTCGACAACACCACCACCTCTATTCTACTCTCCTAACTGAGCTAGGTTGCGAGTTGGCACACCCAAATTTACCAAAATATTTTCTATACCTAGATCAGTAGTCATACTAATATTGTAGAGCCTTGCCCTATATTGTGAACCATTGTTTGTGTACTTACTACTCACATGAGCTTTGCAGCTTATTCAAGTTTTGATTTGCTCAGTGCATCATTTCTACGATGCAATATACAAACCTTGCAGGATAACATGTATTGCTGTTGTGAAATTTATACAACCAAAATTAACCTCATTATGTCTTGCAAGTATAAGAATCAGATGATAGTATAGCAAATAAGCACAGATATTGTCCCACATAAATTGAATTAATTCTAGAAATCTTACTAATTAAATTGAAACAAATTCTAATTGAGAAGAGAATAGATATGAGATTTTGAGTTCAATTGGAAACTAAATTAAGCATGAAATTAAACACATGGAAATAATAAATTGAAAACATACAAAAAAAAGACTTAAATTATTCAATGGTCATGTCATCTGCTTGCACCAAAAGTATCCTTATATGTAACCTTCTATGGCGAAATTTAAACAAGTAAAAACCCATTAAGTTCTATGAAAATCGGTGAATCACATAAGGCCTAATTGCATTACATCTACAACTAGGAATTCATGGTATATTGCAAGAAGCTAAGCCCAAATTTGTTGGAGCATAATAGAAAATATGGAAATAACACAAGAATTCCAATAATAATAATCATAAAGAAATTCACAACATCAATTATATATAAGATTAATAAAAACAACTAGAGAGAAAGTTAAAAATACTAACAAACTTAGATATTGAAGCTTGTATAATGCAACGTCCTAAAGACAGAATTTGCCCTTGCTCTTGTACTTATAGTTCAGTAGGCGTTCGTCTCCCAGGATTCAACAATCTATAATTCGAAGTCAAAGCACTTCAATCTTTAGACTCTGGCAAACCTCATATATTCCGTACTCTTAAGACATGACTTGGAATTTAACAAACGAATAATGAGAGAAACAAAGTGGGGAAACCCTATTTCTCAAGAGTGAAAATTAACTCTAATTTTCTATTCTTAATGATAATGGTTTCATGGGTATATATATATATATAACCCAAGTACTTCTTGTTAAAGAGATATAAGTTTTCATCTATAAGTATACATCATTTGACAAGGGAATACACCTAAATAACATAACCTTTCTAAAACATATGATTGACACTATTTTTCATTCAATTATTAAAATTATATATTACAATATTGTATACTATAATATATAATTTCCAACAAATTTAAGTATGACTTCTACTTTTTACTTGCATCAGATCAACTCAATTAAGGCATCTAAATAAAATTTAGTGCATTCTGCATAACAAAAGATATTCAAACGGAAAAAAAAATCTTAATAATAACAATGCCAAAAAAATTATTCATAATTAGGATTCGTAACTCGAAAAATGAAAATCTCCAAGGTATAATTCCTGTTGTGACGCAGTCCTCTGTTTTGTTCAATCTTTTGCTCACAAGGAGAAAGAAACTCTTTATATAAAACTAAAGGCAAGGCAAGGGCAATTTATTTCTTAACACTAATTGCGTTTTAAAATTCTTATTTTTTTTTTGTAAGACGATAGCATTAGTGATTAAATGTTAGATTAGAGAGTTGATGGAGTTCGCACCCACGGCGAAATGTAAAGGCATAACTCCAAATCTCTTGCCTTGCACAATAATATTAGCTTTTTTAAGCAATGACACTTATGCAAAGCAGTCACTAATCACCCAACCAATAAACAACCCAACCCAACCCAACCATCCAGAACATCAACTAATTTCCCATGTCAACTATTTTTAAGAAAACTCGGTTAGCTAAATTTAGAATGGTTAAGGTGGCAAGAAGCAAGCTATATATATGTTCTCAAAGAGCTGCGATTGGTATCATATTTTGGAAGAAAAAGATTGCATACTTTCCCTTCGATCTCATTCAGTACTTCTTTCGAATTAGATGGGCGAACTGAAGGAGCAGGTTAAGCAAAAGAGCAAGAAAATGAAGAGGGTGTCCATCACACAAGGAGGGAAGGTCGTCACAATATGCAAGAAAGGATGGTACACTCTTCGAAGATCCGTCTCAAAGTATAAGAAGTGATTGGTATACATATTATGCCTTTGAGAACCTAAATGTAAAAGTTTTAGATTGTATGCAATGTTGACACTTTGATACAAATACACCAAGCTATTCTTTAGACCAAAAGAAAAAAAATACACCGAACACGTTGAGAAAATGTCATTCCTTGCTTGAAGTTATACATATATATAGTTGCACCTCATAGATCATTCTTGCAAAATATTAACTAAATCGGAAGTATTTGAGGCATATAATTGAGTTCAAAGAAATTGACGAACAATATGTTCTAAGAAACTATTTGGACCCAAAATTACATCATCGGCCCATGCGATCAAAGCCGTTGAGTAAACATAGCTCCCAACCGTCGGATTGAAGAGTGAAGATCATTTGGTTATTATTGAAGGACAATATTATGATTTTTATCATAATTATCTTTTAATGATAATTAAGATGAGATATGTATCTCCAAGCAGGAAACACGGTAGCACAATTCAAGTTGATTTTGGATGTTTGGCGTGTGAATGTGTGGATGGGATCAGTTTGCTTGACTGACAGATTCAAGTGGTATGCTACAAAATTGATTATTATCCATTTAAAGTATGGTGATAATTAGTAAACAAATGAATTTGGAGTTCACTTAGACGGTAGAAGGTTATTATGCATGCATGTATAAAAATTATAAAGTGATGATGGAATAAAGAGCACCCTTGAATATCTTTAGCAGGATGCCAAGAATCTAGTCGGACAAATTGCATCAGGTTGGAACTCGTGGGCTTTGAAAGGATGGAAAAGATGGGATCAAGTTTGAACTGTTTGATAGTGCATGATTGCACCTGGTCAGATTTGGTGGAAAGATGAGTGGATTGCCGTGATGCTTCGGTTTGAAATGCATGGCTAAGAGATAAACTTGCATGCTAATTATTTGCATGCCTTCGTTCCAGCACGTGGAGATCATCAAATACTTGGATAATGATGGACAAAATAAGGAGAAAAATGAGATAATGATGGAGATTTTAAATTGGTTGGGTAATTGCATGATAACTCCATGCATTTAGTTGAGTCTGATCCACGCCAAAAATCTCATGCAATATTTAAGGATCAAGTTAGTATGTCCCTATAAATACAGAGGCAGTGGCAACGAGAAAACCCCTCTAATTCAACACACAAAACTGCTTTGCGCAAACTCTCGCTCTACGTGAAATCTCTCAACAACCTTGAGATTTTTATTTTCTTTTTCCCGCCGACACATCTTTAGTTTGGATAAACAGCACTATAAAGGCAACCAGCGACATCTTTAGTTTGGATAAACAGAATTGGAGCCGTAGAATCAGCCGATCAAGGGGCACCTTCAGTGTGGATAAACAACATTGCTTCTCGGCCGACTGATTATCTATCCAAGTCTCGGTTGACAAGGATTTTCGAGTCCTTATTGGGAGAGGTCATCTCATCAGCCTTCTCGGCGAAATGAGGTGTTACCAAGTTACTACAATCTGCACATTGAAAGCCGAATCTGATATTGAACTTTGCAAAACTAGCAACATTGTCTTCAGGCTCTAGAATTCGAAGGTCGAGACGTGTTCCTTTTTCGGCCGCAGTCGCAAGATCAAGAAGTCAGCAGCGCGCCCAACGCCACATCAACACATTTTACTCCCTGGCCGAGCTTGGCTGATGAGTTGGCACGCCCCGCACACAACCGAATGACGTAGTTAGTTTACTAATTACTTGGCCTGCGCGCCACGTAGGCTATGTAGTTTTTAGGATCAGCAGAAACATTGAAATTTTATCTTGACAATTAGATGAGAAATTGGTTTCGGATTGAGTTGCGTTTTTGCATAGATGATCTATGAATCGCGACTTACAAAATAAGTTCGGGTTGCTGAAGTTCGATGCGGATTCGGTGATGAAAAATAGACGGTTCAAAGGCTTGAAGCCTTGTTGTATTTCTCACCTTCAATTATTTTTATTTTCTTGTACAACAAGTGAATTTGGTGATGAAAAATGAACAGCTTTTATCCAATATATTACAGCATGGTTTATTGATTTCAACGCTTCAGCAAACACACAAAACACATACAGAATCGACCATGCTCATGCATGTGATTTAGGGTTTAACCCTTTTTACATGTGCACTTAATTTCTTGATGCGCCCCTTAGGCTTTAACCATCGGTTACACAGCTGCAACTACCAGCACATTCGAAGGAGCTCTTGCCAGCATCAGGATCTTCAGGTTCAACCTTGGAGATGACACATTTCCAACCTTCACCACACTCGCAGTAGGCTTCGTTTGCACCAATTTTCTCTACCTCCTCGTTCACCGTCGTGGCCTCCTTTGTCACTGTCCCGTCTTCATAGCTGTCAAAAGATCGAATTAGGCATTATCAGTCCATATGCATCGTCGTGACCATTGATACACGTATCTACGGACATTACTTGCCTCTTGTTACATATAAAAAGTCATTTATCTTTCAGTGACGACGTAACATGATTACACTGTACAAACTTCATAACTCTTATCTTTTTTTATAAAAAAGAGGACAACTGGTGGTAAGCCACGATTATCCACCAATTTCGGAGGCAAGGAAGATTCACAGAGGCAAAAAGGGGACAACACTAGCAACAGGTTTCAAACCTAAGACCTCCAGTTTTTAATTTGAAGGAAGTCTCGTAATCCGCCATTTACCATTGGATCATCAACTCATGGTTATACAAACTTCATAACTAGAACTATTATGTAAATATTATATATATAAAAAATTATTCGATTTGAGACCATTTAATTATTTATAAAATTAAACAAATTGATGGTTCATTATATAGATGTTACTTGTTATCATAACCGTCAATTTCTTCGACCCATATAAATGATTAAACAATCTTCAAATTAAATGAAAGAGAGAATGTAAAAATCGGACTATAACGTTGGTATATTGAAATGATATCACGTTGCCATTTCTAAACAACTTAGATTAGTTTATCCTTGTGCTGATTGACATACGTGTGTAGTTTTCCCAGCACAGCTGAAGAAGGCCTTGCCGGCATCAGGTCCCTCAGTCCTAGTGATGACACACTTCCATCCTTCGCCGCACCGGCAAAATGCTTTGCTGATGCGGGATCCGGAGTTGCCTCCGCTGCGACAGACCTGCACAAATTGGAGGCAGCTAATTATGGGCCTGCGAAACCTTAGAAATATAATTCCAGCATGCAAACATTTGCATAATCTTCGTCTCGTACTATAACTATATAACAAATTAGCTCAGTGAGAATAAAACCTGACAGATTGCTCGCCAGAGCTCTGAGTCTCCATTGTTCGAAATTTGTTGAGAGATGGAAATTTTCAGAAAAACCATTCATCTTGTAAAGAAAACAGTTTTTGACAAGGATGTTATTGTCCATACACTACGAAATTGTCATGTTGTAATAATTGTGTGCCAAAATCTGTGGCCCAAAGTTTATGAAATTTTATCCGAAGAGAAGAAAAAATGGGAGTTCCCAACAAGCAATTTATGAAAAAATTCTTAGGAAGAGACTTTGGTGTATGAACTTAATCATATGTTACAGCCGAACTCGTCTCAAATTCTAAGAAGAAGCGACATTTATGATGCCCTCAATGCAAAATTTAGGCTGCATGCGATGTTGGAAATGTTATGTAATCATATAAAAATACTGGTTATTCTCTAGACAATATTGACGCGTGAAGAAAATCTCATTTTCATTGAGTTTTATCACAAATGTTTTTTGAAATTGACCTACCATATTAAGATTGGTTCTTGAAATTAAAAATTGATCAATGTAGTCCTTGAAATGAGTGTTGCAAACCAACTGTGGTTCTTTCGTCACAATTCTGTCAAAATTTCTGTTATGTCATGAATTATTTGTGATAAAACCGTTTCTTATTCAATCTAAAACGGTACTTCTAAAGGCCTCAAGCGTTATTGTATATAATTATCAAAGTGAAATGATTTAAGGAACATTTTTTCACTTAATGTACACTCCTCTTTTCATCTAGTCATTGTAGTGAACAAAATCAAAGATGAATTGAAGACTATAACTAAGAAAAGTGTGTATAAAGTAGAAAATGGTGCGTTGAAATCATTGCCCTTATCGAAATACGAAAAACATATTTGGGAATTCAAGACTTGAGACCTTGTTCAAGATGCCAACATTTGGAAATGCATAACAGATTTATCAAAAAAACATAGAGCATTGTGAATTGGATTACCATTTCATCGCTTTCAACAAAACATGAAGTTTTCGAGAGAGACAGATCCGTCCGATTACGTATAAGCTGTATCCAGAGAGTTTCAATATAAAATTGAAAGAAATGCATATAATGGAGAGGTTGACACCAACAAGATCCTCTGCGGATCCCTTTGGTGAGAATTCTAGAGATCTGTGAATCGTGTCCATTTATTGTACATCGTGCAGTTAGTTTTTGTCAAATACTGTTTATGTTTATTTTTAAATAAAAATATTTAAAATGATTTCTGATCGCACGATGTATGATGAACAAACACGATTTATGAATCTCAGGATCCTCACAAAGAGATCTGGCGAAGATTCGGACTCAAGTTGACACCTAAATCCAACAAGGAAAACTAAAATAATAAGGGGATGGTAGAAGCATATAAAAATCACATGTTCTTCGTATCCTGCCAATATAAATATAATAAGATTTAGTATACTAGTAATGGAGAAATAACTCATAATGTTGGATTATAAAACCTATATTTCGGAGAGGAACAAAGTTTTTGATTTATTTCATAAAAGGGACAAAATTTATTCATGTAACGGTTGTTGTTACGGTTTTTTTAATTGTCTTTGCATTTATAATTTAGCTTTATGTTTGAAGATGAATTTCTATCTTCTTATTTTTTAAGTGATGTTATACACACACCAGTGTCTTATTATCTCCTCACCCACCTTATATTTACACCCGTCATAAAAAATGAAAAAAAATCCATCCCCACCCACCATTATTTCCAAAATAACCCTTGCTTTAAAAAATATTATAATCTAAAGACAATTATCATTAAATAAAATTGTTCCAAAACACCAAATACAATCCGGGTTCTAATTGTGGAGGTGGAGAGGTTTATGATATTTCATAAACTTTTTCCCTTTTTATTATTGGGAGTTTTAACGAAAAACTCGCGGTACTGTTCACTTTAACGAAAAACCATATTTTTACACTAAAAAGTCAATCATGGTACTATTCACTTTACTCTTTATTTTGTCTTTATCGTTAAAACTCAAAGTTTTCAAATCCTTTTCATTAGTTTTCCTTTTATTTTATGGTAAATCCCATAAGGCTCAGAACATAGTTAGCTTGGTCCACAGCAGGATTAACTGCATTTTATATGTTTTGGATCTATTTACGTGCTTTTGAAGAACATTTAAACGTTTATTTTCAAACTTATAGTGGCAAAAGAAGCAGTTCGTTATATTAATTTATAGAAGTTCCAAAACTTTCCCACCTGCGATGCTCAACATTTCTGTCTCAGTAGGAATTATTAAACTGTAACTGAAATGCCAAATTTGTTTATGAACTGTAACAGCAATGTACTCTTCTCGGCAAAAGATTGGTAAGCTTCCTAGTCGACAATTCCAACTGATTCTGAACAATGTTAGAGCCGTTGTTGCCCACGATCTTGTTCTACGACATGCTCGTCTCCTCTGCTAAATATCATAAACCTCTCCACCTCCATAATTAGAACCCCCGATCGTACGTATTTGGTGTTTTGGAACAATTTTGTTTAATGATAATTGTTCTTTAAATTATAATTATTTTTTAAAGCAAGGGTTATTTTGGAAATAATGGCTGGTGGGGATAGAGTTTATGTGGTTTTTTTTTATAAGTGTTGCTACTCCCACCCCGATGTCTTATTTCTCCATCCACTCCAAATTAAATATTTTGTTTACAAATTTATCCTCTTGCAAAATGACTTTGAAGGACCTAAACAAAAAAGAATTTTGACAAAGTAAGACCTAAAAAAATTCAATTTGAATATATAAAAAAAAGTTTAGAAAAAAAAAAGAGGAAGAATACTATTATAATCATGTCCAGATCGTCCCCTACATCCCCTTCCATTCTTTTTCCTCTTCTTCTTCCATATCCATCGGGACAACCACTGCTTTAGTGATGGTGCTCCTCGCCGTCCTCCACTTCCTTCATGTGAAGATAAAACTCACGGCTAAAACACTCACTACGAACTTACGAACCCGTTATTTACAGACCAGTCTTTTGCAGATCCAAAAAGAGGCGATCCGCGCCACTTCTACATATGCGCAACTCGACTTGTTCCATACGCCATGCACTCAACATCTTCTCTCATCCAAATCCAACCCATGACAACCTTCTCCAGCTGGGATACAAAATGAGATCTCAAGTTTTCCATTGGTATCACCAAAAAATTTCCATTGATTAGGAGTACTAGGCCCAATTCATGATTTTTTTTTTCCACAAATCATGAGCAGATTAAACAAAAAAAAAAAAATTGTTATTTTATCTTTTATTTATTGTTAGGAATGTAAAATATTAAGATTATTTTAGGAATAAAGGTGGGTGTAGAGATAGTATCTCATTGTTTTTACTTTTAATAGTGGGTGACAAAATAAGTGGGGTGGGAAGATAAGAAAATGGGGTAAACTTAGTAGCACTCTTTTTCTTTTGTTAGAGCAACTCCAGCGTTGGAGCCCTCCCCCCTGGCAATACACTATTCAATCCACCTAATGAACAGTAATTGCCCTTAATGAACAGTAAGTAGCCCTGGCAATATATTTTGCATCTCCACCGTTACACTTCTATAGCCCTGGCAATAGGCAATAAAATATTAGTATTTTTTTATTTATAAAATTAATACAAAATAATTTTAAATGTAATATCGGATAAGATTTTTAATCGTTGTCGGTGCGCCACGTGTCATTACCCGTAACTGCATCTCATTACCCGTAAGAGAACTATGAGTAACTTCAACCCAGCTAGTACACAACGCAACATCTTCAATAAGCGACCAATTCGTACCTGCACCAGTGGTCATTTTGTTGAAAAAAAATGGATTCAAACTTTGAGACAAAGAAAGGAATGTGATTGAAAGTAGTTGAGAAAATATGAAATTGTTGTGAAGGTAGATGATAATGAGAAGGTATTTATAGAAAAGTAAAAACAATTTTTTTTACAATTTTTTTCAGATTTTTCAGATATTTTTTTGAATTTTTTTGAATTTTTTACACTTTTTTTTGAATTTTTATTCAATTAATTAATCTCTGCCGTTGGATATAAAAAAATTTGAATTCCAACGCTCCAGATTGTGCCACGTGTCACAACGGTAACTTTTCAGATTTTTTAAACTATTTTTTCATTTATTTTTTAATTTATAAAGCATTTTAATATCCACCGTTGATCTCAGATCGAACGGTGGATATTAAATCTGACAGTTTTATATTTTTTTACCGTTGAGATCTAACGGTCCACATTAAGTGACCGTTAGGATCTAACGTACCGTGGGAAGCCACGTGGCTTCCCAACGGTAACAGACAAAACTTTTTTTTTGCTGATTAAAGTGTCAGGACGCGCCCCCACGCGCGGGTGGGGTGCACACGCCTGACACAAAAAAAATTAAATAATACGCTGACGCCACCCTGGCGTCAGCATGGCGTCACTCCCACCCCGGGCTCAAGGCCTGTCAATTCCTCACGGGCCTGGCCCTCGGGCCTCCCCCGTCCCCCGGCCTGCCTCACGCTGGACGCCATCCACCGGCCCTCGGGCCTTTGTTCTGGAGACAGTCCCCCGAGCAATATGCTACGGTGGGAGTGCTCTTATGATAGGTGTAAATATAATATGGGTGAAGAGATAAGACATTGGAGTGGGCTTAGTAACTTTCTATTTCGTTGTCTCTTTTTCTCTCTCCCTCCTCTTTTTTATTCGGTACTTCTCTCTTTTTTTTTCTCCTCTTTCTTCCCATATCGCTCTTTCTCCCTCTCTCTCCCCTCTTTCTCATCCATCTTTCTCTCTCCTCTTTCTCTTCTATCTGTCTCCCCTACTTCATACTTCTCTCTCCCCTCTTCTTCTTCTTCTTCTTCTTCTTCGTATTGTTCCCTAGATTTTTTAGTATTTTTTTAATTTAAGAGAACGATTGAGCATTGTTTTTTTTTTTTTGGTTTTTTATTCTAGTATCTTCTCGAAGTATTTTATTTTGAGATTTTGATGATTTGGATGCATAGATTCTGAAACTGATCTTGAAAAAATGCTGGAATTTTGAAACTAATCTTGTAAAATTGCATGAATTTTGAAACTAATCTTACGAAATTGCTGAAATTTTGAGACTAATCTTACAGAATTGCTGAATTTTTGAAATTAATTTTGCAGAAGTACAAGAATTTTAAAACTGATCTTGGAGAAGTACATAAAATTTTGAAACTGATATTGTAGAAA